AATTATTTTTATTAATCTTAATCTAAGATGATTATATTATTTAATTATCTATTAAAAAGATTCATAAATTTGATTAATTAATTTTAATTAATGATAAATTAATCATTTAATTAAATCAATTATATTAGTTAATTAATTTAAATCCCTAATTTCCTTTAATCTTGTTAAGAGTAAAAAATTATCTTTTTTTTTATTTCAGTTTCACCCAAGGTTTTTTACGATTAAGCAATTTAGTCCACATATTTCAAATTTGTTCAAACCAGTCCTTTATATTTTGAATTTAATCAAATTGGTCAAGTTAGTCCCTTAACTTCTTGTTTATGTTATTGTGCGTGCTTGTTTGTCCATTTTAGTCCAAAAGTTTAAAAGTTGTCACAATTCGGTCCATGTATTTTTTAAGCTTGCTTATTAAGACTCAAACATAAACATAATAAATAAGTTGAATTAAAACCCCAATTTTAAAGTATGCAACTGTGTTTAAACGGAGGATTACGAGGTGCGCGTATGCCCTTCCTCACTTCTAACCGAACCCTCGAACCTCGATTTCTGCGCAGACCTGTTTTAGGTGACTTATCCCACCTTATAATTTGGATGAGTGGCGACTCCCTTTCCTTATATTTTTTACACTTAATTTTTTCATTTATTTTGAAAAAAATCTGAAGTGGTCGTCAACACCACCCTGGCCATACCTCATTGTTTGGCCCATGCTTTTCCACATACTTTTGGTGAGTAGCATTCTATTTCAAATATAAATTTTCATTAGTTAGAATAATTTAAATTGTGTTCATATTAATTATAATAAATATCATCAAGGAATTTGATGGGAATTCCTAGGATAGCATTGGAGCAAGAGGCTTTAATTTCTAGGATGGGAAAATGGGAAGAGAAGGGGTATGGCAATTAGTGCTGGAAATGGAGAATAAAAATGTTTGCCTAGGAAGATTGCTTATTGCAGGAAATGGTAACTGAAATTCAAAATGCAAGTCTAAAACAAGGAACACAAGACGTATGGGCATGGAAGCATAACAAACATGGGCAATATACAGTGAACTCAGGA